AGCGGGCAGGACTGGCCTAGGGGTATTTTAAATTGGTTTTAACAAAATTTTTAGTATAAGCGGCCTATTGAATATCTATTTTTAATTACTTTTAAATTTTGTATTATATTGTATTATTGTTTTTAAGCTGGCTGTAAGCCGCCCTGAGTCCTCCGGGAGAAGGGCGGGGTATAAATTTAATAAAACTAAAACTAAACTAGGTACTTAAAATATATCAACTTAGCTAGTTACGAGAATCGTTATCTGGAGAATAAGAATTGTGTTACAGCTTTGACACTACTTCTATGGAGAACTTGTTAATTTGCTTTTGGAAAAGAAAATGCAGATAAGCGAGCATTAAATTTCAGTTAAAACACATACTATTAAAACTGAAGTTAGCAACACAGATTCTTCCCTGTGATCACTATACACACATTTCTGTAAAGCACTATGAAGTGGTATATAAGTCTAAGTGCTATTGCTATTTCCCTTCCGAAGAGTCTCAGCAGGTACTTTCAGCTAATGCATCGTTACAATTTTAAATTACAGCAGCTTACAGTAGATCCTGAAAGATCAGAAAATTTGTTATTCAAGTATTAGTCATAGCCTATGCCGCTCCAAAATGTCAAATCTTTAAAAATATCTAAAATTTTATACTTAACAACCTCATCACATGCAACTTTAAATTGTCGCGTGATCTATATGTAAAAAAAACAAGTAGCAACATTTAATCAAAAGTTAATTAAGGGTGTCCATATTTAATTCCAGGCAGAATTTGATTCATTTTTAAAAGTATTATTTTAAAAAAGTGAATGATTTTTCCTTCTTTCCATTAAAAAACTTCTTTAAATCACATATCTGTGTAACATAAAAGATACGAAGATGTAAACAGATTAACAATTAGAACAAATAATGATGAACTAAAACTGCAATTTATTGGAAACAGGAATTTTTTTGGCTAGGATTGTAATCTCCATTTAAACATGTGGCAGTATCTATAACATAACTGCAAGTAAAATTACGATTAAACATTTTCCTATTACATCTCATCAATCAATACAGTAATTATAGTACTATCTGAAGTCTGACCAAAAAACATTTCTATATTTAAGGACGGAGATAAGCAAAATAAGAGCCTTCTGGAACAACCAAATGGCTTGTTCCTGGGTGTTGATGATACATGCCTACTTTTGCTTTCATTAAATGTACTAAAAAGGATGTGCAAAATGTTCTATGCATAACTGTTGTTCTGGGAAGTAACTGCTGCTTTCATGCCCAAATCACCTGCACTCTATCTGAGTGAAGCCATGCCAACCTCTCTCTAACACTTCCCCCAGGCTGCCTCTCCTTAGGCCCCACCCCCTCCCCGGGCGCAAGGAACCCTCCCCATTTCCATCTCTCTTCAGTTCCTGGAATTCCTGCTTTCATGCCTTCTCACTCCAAGAGGACCACGTCCCACGTCCTGTGCCTCCTAGACAAAGAGGCAGATGTTCGACCAACCGGACCCGTTTCTTGTCAGTCAGAATTAGAATTTCAACCCCACATCAATGTATCCTCAAACCAGACAGGGTTGTGGTTGCCCCTGCCAACCCTGTCCCCTTCCCACAAAACAGAACTAAGATGGAAATGTCACTTCAGGCCAAGATGCTGGACATGACTCACACAGCAGATGAATCTGCCTGGTTGTGAGCTGTTTTTCTGGGCAGCCCAATCTCAACCAGAGATATGTGGGTTCACAGGAGATGGTGAGTTCTTCTGGTTTCTATGCCAAACTGACATCTGTCTGCCTGCCTGTCTGTCTATCTATCTATAGCCCATATCTTCATTGTTAAAAGCATATTCCACCTTACACAAGAAAACACTCCTGCAAAATGCTTTGTAAGCTGGTACCACTACAATGTAAACTTTGCTAAGCACTACTGATAACATTCCTTCATGAGGCGTTGCTAAGCCAAAGTACAAAGCCATCTGAAATGGCCACATCTGGTGGTACATTTCAGGCAGAAAACACTGTATAAAAATGTACAGCACAAAAACAGAGTGCTGTTTCTCCACGGAAGCATTTCTTGGAAAAGAGAGGTAGATATTCTCCACTCATACCGTTTCTAACTGGCAGAGTAGCCAGCGTTTTTGTACACTCTCTCCAACCACCTGTCTTTTCCGAAACAATCCCAACGGATCTCGGAGCCCAGACCCTAAATAAACAGAACAGCTTCCCAACACCAGGCGTGCAATTACAGGAGTATTACTCATTGACAATGAGTGACCGAAGGGCTCAAAGTGCTGAGCAGAACAAACAGTAAAAGTAAGATTGGCTAAGGCTTCAGGAAAGCAGCCACTGCAAGCCACAGAAACCTCAGATGACTGAACAATTTCCTGGATTAAGCAGGCAAGTTCCGGTTTACACTGCAGTTCGTGTGGTTTGCGCCAGCAGCTTGTCAGCAAAGCACAGTCACTAGGACCCTGAACTTCCAAGGGACTGAGGTTGCGCTGCCTCTTTTGGCAGCAACCCTGAAGAAAGCTGAGCTCAATGCTTATGTTTTTGTTTTTCTTTCTCTCTCTCTCTCTCTCTCTCTCTCTTCCCCCACCCCCAAGGAACAGGAATGCAGCATAGCATTAACAGTTCCTTCTGTCTGGAAGCAACTGAAGCAAAGCCAAGGATGGAGCAAGGCCAAGATAAGGAAAAGCCCAGCGCTTCACATGAAGAAAGCTTACTCATTTGCAGATACTTAAGATAGGCTTCCCAAGTACTAAGAGTCTCCAGTGCTGCCTGGTAAATTAGGAGTCAAATCTTTGAGGGAAGAAAGGATGGCTTAAATCCAAAGGACATTTTGGCCCTTTCACCTTGAAGTCTGTTTCTCATTATTTCCCAGCAATCATCAATACAAGAAACAGGTCTAATTTCCTTCCTGCTCTAAACTATTTGTTTGTACAATTAAATGTCCCAGATAGCAGTTAAGGATAACAAATCTTTGGTTTATTGAGGCAAATCAGAAAAAGATGTGAACGTTATGAAACAGTTCCTGCATTTCAATAAAGTAAGGTTTGCTTCAGACTGTTATATCACTGTATTGTAAAATCAATTTTCCCCAACATTTTATATTTTACTCTTTAAAATATTATTTAAATATCGAATACACTTTGTGTATTTAATACAGGCTAATGGAGTAAGATCAGTGCGTAATACAGTATATGTGAAATATACTACAAGAAAACAAAAGAATTTGATGACAGCAACCTATGACAAAACCACTGACAGATTATAGAACATTTCTACCTACTGTACTGTATGAAATAAAAGGCTGGATATAAAACAGTAAATGAAAATGAAAGTGCTTGAGTGAACAACAGTGCCCCTACCTTGGCATCTAAATGTTTGCAAAAGAGATGATGGGGATAAACTTCACAAAAGAATATTCCAAAACCAGGGCACACCACATAAAATTATTTGCAGAAGGAAGTGATACTTGGCAGAATGTGCCTCTGCAACAAAGGTATTTGGAGCAGGGTTATCAGAAACACATTTTGAGTTATGGGCAAGTTAATCATCGCTTCAATCGTTCAAAACTTAAGTGGCTTGGGGTTTAAATGTAACTGAACTTAAAAATGAACAGGCAAGCAGACCAGTTCTTCTAAGCTGAATACAGAGGAATGGTGTGACAAGGGAACAAACCACTCAGGAATCAAATTAGTGAATTAGTCTTCAAGAGTCCAGAAATGACACTGCATTAGATCACTATTTCAGCTTTCTACATACCTGCAAATGATTCAGCACCGGCAATGACAAAGAAATCTATCACCCGTGATGTGAAGTCAAAGGCAATCTGCCGACTGCCATGAACAACAGTGATGCTATGCCGGTCACCGTAGCTGGCTCGAGGCATCCCTCCTTGGAATATGAGGTAAGGGAGCCTTAAAGAAAAACAGATAATATTCTGAGTCTTCACTTTAATAGCATTTCATAGCTAGAATTTTTTTTTAAAAAATGGCCTTACTGAAATCTCTCCATCTTTAGAATTAGCTCCTTGAAGGAAGTCACTAGCAAGGAATAAGCAAAGCGTGCAATACAAGAGAAACATTGTAAGGCCTGAATAGTGGTGCTGGTGTCTCAGTCATGGAACAGCCTCGCACCCGAGATTCTGAGGGATCTCTAACTTTTCAACCTTCCGGTGGGGTTGTGAAAACCTGCCTGTTCCTCCAAGCACTGGGCTAGAATGGAGGTTGAGCTGTGAGGAGGATTGATCTGGAAGGGTACTTTTGTTTTTAATATGTTTTTATGTATTGTTGTGGGTTGCTTAGAGTCATCATGTGAGAGGCAGCCACAGTATATAACTCCTGTAAATAAGTAAATTTACTTATATGCATATGTGAAATTGTCAGCCCTCCCTAGTAAACCAGACCAGAAACATGAACAAATGACCTAATTCTAATTTTAAGGTAAGGCTACATATATGGTAAGGCTACAAGTCTGAAAATACAAATCTCACTATCACTTTTGATGGCCTTATTAATTCGGGCAGGTCCTTTCTAAGTTTCTTTCTCTGGCTGTTAAGCACTGGGGGGCCCTTCTTCTCTTGCCTGGTTGTTTCCAAAGCAGTATCTCTTCCCTGTATCCCTCAAGGCAAATTCCCACATACCGTTACAGAAATGGACACTGCTTTTCCAAAGCCCCATTAGCCATTCCTTGTGGTAGCAACTTATTGTGGAATTTCTCTCCTCAGGGTTCTTTGATAGAGTCTTGACATTCATTCTATCATTTTCAGTGGTATTTAAGATTCTTCTATCTAATCTTTAGCTGTCACTTCTATCCATTGTATTTTCTACTGTTCTCATTCTGGCTTTCACTGAATGATATGAAATATGGATATATGCTTATAGAATTTTATAATTACAGGATAATTATTTATAGTTAGGTGAGAAGGAAAGCCTGCAGCAAAAGGCAGATTACAAATTTGGTACACAAGGACACAACATCAATTCAAAATTGCCTAAAGAAAGGCAGCAACATTTTGTCTCATAAGTCCATACAGATCTTTATTATATGTAGAAAAGAACACATGGCTGTTACTTAACCAGTTGCAGGTTCCCAGGAATAGCCTCTCTTGTTACTAAAATGTCACTTTACACAGACAACACACAACATTGTCAGCCATAATACTCACCCATTCTTTGTTGTGAGCCAGTAAATTTTTGAAATGGCCTTACAAGGGAAGGGACCTACAACAGAATATTTACAAAGATTGTACCATTTATTAAATATATTTTTGTATTGCAAAACTCACAAATAGTTTTAGTAAACCTGACACAACATGATAACATCTCTGTGCATAACTACTCTACATATAAGTTGCACAGTCAGACAGCTTCACCAACTAATTATGCAGACCAACGTACACGCAGATTGCCTTTTCATACATCCATTATGACATGAAGGATAAAAGGAAAAACTAATCCAGTTTCATCTATTTTCTGGTAAAAAACAACAGCTACTGTAATTCCAAGGGCTAAAAAAACCCTGCCATCTCTATATATCTCCAGAAGGTTTATTAAAATTGTTGGAATCAGTATTGCTGTTAGACATCTAATTGTCTAGCAATTCAGATAATTTGTTTTCCATGATTTAGCAGTCTATTGTTTTAATATGAGGGCTGTTTTAATATGAGTGCTTCTTTTGATACAAGTTTTAGTCTCTGGTCGTAGAATCATTCAGATAAACATTTATGCTACACATAAACCCTGTAGCAGTTAATCGTGGCACTGTTTTATTATATCACTTGATGAAGCTCTAGCAACGTGAATCAAAGCTCTAAAGAAGGTCTACACAATATATTGTCATGTGATTGGTCAGATACTAAACAATACTCTTGCTTTTTATATCCATATATGATATTTGAACCAAACAGTCCTTCTTAGAATAGGTCCAGAGTTTCTAAAATCAAGCTTTGAATTTATTTATTAAATTTATATGCCACCAAAGGCGACTTCCAATAAAATCAGAATCAAAGTTGATACCAAAGGCATATCTTCCCAGCTTCCCTCATACTAACCGTAATGTACTTTGCTTTCCAAAGGCTCAGGCTGCCTATCATCGCTTGAAATAGGCCACTGTGTATAGCTCCCATCATAATGGCAACTGATGATATGATGGCCATCCCTCATCCAGAAGAGATTTTCTAATTGCTAGAGAAAAACAAAAGACACATCCTGAAGTAGCAACAGGATTGATTTGCTCACAATGTCTGTATTTAAAACATAATCACTTAATTCTCCAGCTTTTATTTCAAACCCTTACAGAAATATCATGTGCTAGAAACTTAAGAGTTCATTAAGTTGTTAGCTGGATCTTCTCTCCTGAAGCTAATGCTTTGAACTAGGCCACAGACTAATAATAATAATAATAATAATAATAATAATAATAATAATAGTAGTAGTAGTAGTAGTAGTAGTAGTAGTAGTAGTAGTAGTAGTAGTAGTAGTAAAGTTGGAAGGGACCTTGGAGGTCATCTAGTCCAACCCCCTGCTCAGGACAAATGGCTGTCCAGTTTCTTCTTTAAAACTTCCAGTGTTGGCGCATTCACCGCTTTAGGAGGCAGGTTGTTCCACTGGTTAATTGTTTTAACTGTCAGGAAGTTTCTCCTTAGTTCTAAGTTGCTAATAGGAGCGCTGCTAATAGGAGCGCTGACTCTGATCTGCCTCTTCCCTTTTAGATACCATCAGTCTGAACTGGCCAGATCCAGGCTGTGGTGATGCTGCCACAGTGTACTAGACAGTGTGTATTTTCTCACCAGAACAAAGGTGGTGAGCATATACCAGTCTGGACTCTTGACCCATGAAAGCCCTAGCACATTCATTCATCTTCAAATCAGAGAAGTGTGCTTTATCTGAGTGGCACACCAGAGGTCACACATCCAAAAACAAGTGGGGCCAGGACAAAAGCTAAACCAAATGTAATTTGAATAGTTAATGTGATTGCTGCTGATAGATTTAATCATTTCTTCTGTTTACCCATGGCCAGTGCAAACTTTTGGAGAGGAGCCACACCCACAGTTTTGGGGAAAGGTTGGGCGCCCTTTTTCAAACTGAACTAGTGATCTTCTAATGAAAAAATTCAATATTCTCATCTAGAAGAGTACATATGTGATAATGTGGAAATAGTGCTGTCAATCCTCTTCACTATTATGGTATAAACGACAAATCAGGCCAACAAAGAAAGTTCAACAGAGCATTCAAAAGGCTCCATCTCCTCATAGGCCCTATGGCCTCTTGTTTCTCTATTAACCCTGTCAGTGTAAAGCTTGTCTTTTCAAGTGGCACTCCGGACTGTTCAGTCATACTGTTATTCTAACCGGCAATCTGAGCATTTTAATATGCTATTGGAAAATGTTAATGAAGAACATGAATTCATATTCTAGGGACCAAAGATCTTGAGGGTTAGCTATATGTTAATAAACTGGTATAATAAAACCCTGATAACAACTTTTTTTGGTTTGTTTTCATGTTTCGGATGAGGGTAATGAAACATCCATTTCCTATTCTCTACCTTAGAAAGAAGGATGCTGAAAGGATAAATTGCACGAAAAAAATGCATTTTCTTTGTAACACATTTCACCTCTCTCTCTTGCCCTGCTTGTTAAAAAAAATGTGCAAGGACCTCATAATAATTGCTAGACACAAGGCATTATCAATGTCCAAGCAGATTTCCCTGCTTTTTGTTCTGGACAGAGTTCTATGACTTTGCCCATATTTTACAGTAAACTATAGTTTATTCATGGTTTGAATCTTTATTACAGTCAATGACCAGTCCATTTAATCCTAGCGTTATTAAAGTAAAATCTGTCAGGGCCACACTAAGCCATAAACAGTAGTTTACAAAAAAACAATAAACGGCCTCATGCAGTTTACTAAGCCAAGTTCAAACCAACCACATTTTGGCTTATCAATTTGGATGAACATAAAACTGTAACTTGCTATGTAAGCTAAGGAAACAGGGCCTTCGTTCAGAACTTCCAGAATTCACGAGTACCTGATTGCCAAGTAAATGATGTGTTGCTTTCTTATTTATCAAATCCCAGAGAACAATGAGGCCCCTGCTGTAACCAATCAAAATCTGATTGGGATTCCGAGGATGTTCCCGTAACACTTCTACCAATTCTAGGGACCTCCTGTTCCGATAATCTTCTGGCACTCTGTGAGGAAACACAAATGGAGCCATTATTGTGCAAGCAAAAGAAAGAAACTTAAAATGTGCAAAGAAACAGTTGCACGTATGGTAGGGCTCTACCTTCCGATGCACCATCATAAGGCCAAGCATGTGGCTTCTTGCCAGTGCCTCTGCTTTCAGCTCAGATCAGACCAAGCTTTTTCACCAGCAGGCCTCCAGGCCAATTGTTGAAAGGGGGGCTCATGTTCCAGAGAAACACTTCTATTTCTAAGCTCATGCTTTGCTTGAGTGCAACATACTTAGGTAATCCAATTCAGTTTATTTTTTCATAGGGTGTGTTTAAGGAAACAAAATGGTACTTTGACCTATCTGAACATTGTGGTCACAACAGAAATCTTTAAGTGGTTATGCTGTGGAAGCTGAACCTTGAAACACGTACATCGTCTAGGTCAGTGGTGGCGAACCTATGGCACGCATGCCAGAGGCAGCACTCAGAGCCCTCTCCGTGGGCACGCACGCGGTCGCCCCAGCCCCGCCTCCCCCGCAGCCCCCTCCTCACCAGCAGCCCTCCTGGAGGAGAGTCGCCCCCAGGCACAGCCAGCAAGAAGCAGCGCAGCCAAGGACATAGCTGGACAACAGGGACAAGACTCCGCCCTTGAGCCCCATAGTGTGCAGATGATGCTGCGGGGTGTGGGCGGAGGGCAGGGCTGCCTGGGTGATCTGCAGCGGGCCATGGAGGCGGTGCGTGGCCCTGCGGGCAGGCGGGGCAGGGGGCAGGCGGGGGTGGAGCAGGCAGAGCGGGGGGTGGTGGTTTTGGGGCACTCAGTCTCTATCACTGGTCTAGGTTATTCAAGACTGGACAAACTCTGTATTTTCATAGGCCACCCCAAATATTGCTCTTTCTCTGGCTTTAGGGCTTGCTGCCACCTGTTCTTAGAAGGAGGCCTCAGCAGAGAATGGGAACATTTACATCCCAACAACTCTCTGCCTACTCACAAAAGGAGCCTATCCTATTAGGTGAGAAATGAAACCTCTCTGGAGGACATACATGGGATCCCACTAAGCAACTTGCTGAAACCGAAGAAGCTTAGATAAGCAGCAAAACGTTTTGAACTGACAAGACGTCCAGTTGCTATGACTTCGCTTCCAGACATCTTGTATGACAGACAAGCTGTATGTTGATCGAGACTTGTAGAGTCTATACCCATCTATGGTTGGATTTATAAACAGGGCAAACTCTCAGAAATGTTATAGGTAACAATTTCAGTGTCTGACGTCACCTTTGTAATACTTCTTCTGGACTGATGATCTGGTCTTCTAGCACCCTGAAGGATGGGAGCTCTACCACAAACACATTACCACTTTCAGTACCAAGATACAGAAGTTCTTGAGAAGAATGTGCCAGGATTGCTGTTATTTGGGTAGCACTTGGAGGGGAACTAGAGGCGGAGAAAAACAAAGGAAAACATGTTTTAAGATTCAGGCGAATGAACTTGATATTGCAATCAACATTCATGTAGTACCATATGAAATAAAAATTTGATCCAAAATCTATTTGCAAGAATTCAGAAAGGACTACCGAAGACAAGTTATTGAAATTCTAACTCCAGAATCGCGTGGCAGAGAAACATGTATGAAACTGAAAATGTTATATGGTTTATGAATAGATAAACTTGCAAGAACTTAATTTTAGTCCCTTCTGCTTGACAATGCTAGATTTACTAGCAAATAGTATATATTGATGCTTGTTAATATTTCCTCCGTCACCATTATCCTAAAATCTGTACTAAACTTTTGCCATTGTTTTAATTACAGTAATTTAGGGTAAGTTCGGACACTGGACCATTCTCTGATTCTCCTGCTAAAACACAGTTGACCTTTGGTTCAGATGAAATAACAAATTAAGTTTCCTCAAATAAAGCCAAGAAGAAAACTAGATTTACAAAAGATGAAGCATACCACAATTCTCCATACCACAACAAGCAGATTACATAGAGTGCAAAGAACCTTTAAAGTTTATATTTGCTTGAAATATCAACAGTGAAAAATTTACTGTATGTCAAGCATGTTGACTTTCTTAGCAGTCCAGATGTGCTAGGATTGGAAGTATCCTAATTACCCAGGAGGCCCACGGAGTGTGAAATGTCTTTCCTCCTGAAGCTCTGATGTACCATGATGGGAATGTTTCAGGGTCCATAAATGCAGGCTGTTATCATCCAGTAGGGTCACTAAGCGGCACTGAAAATTATCAAGAGGAACAGAGATAAAGCAACTTTTATTACCTGCAGTAGCACATCAAGAACTGAGCTATTGTTTTAAGCTACAGTCCATGACTAAGCTGAAATAAAATTCCCATCTGGGATGGGACAAAGTTAGACAGAAACAGATTTGTTACAGAATCTCCACTTTAGAAGTCTATTCCAAGATAGTAGCCAAGAGCAACAACCAGGCCAATAGATAAATGCTCACATATTTTATAGAAGTTGACAGCTTATTTCAGCACATATGCTATATATACCAAGCACAGGAACCCCCTTTAAGACAAGATCTATCCTATAAAAAAAAAGTCTGGCCTCTAAAAGCCATAAGGGACAGGGCAGTGTTGATAGGACAACATAGGAATTGGTAGATGAGATGGGGATGGCTATGTGTGTGCGCGCTATGTCTGAAATAGCCTATCAACAGAATGCAGATAGTCCTCGACTTACAACTGTAATTAAGCCCAGAATTATGGTTGTCATTGGAGTTGCTAAATAGATCACGTGGCCAGACCCGATTTTATGACATTTTTTTGCCATAGTCATTAAGCAAACCCCACAATCGCTAAGCAAACACCATGGCCATTAAGCGAGTGCCATGGTTGTTAAGCATATCAATTTACTCAAAATGGATTTTTGCTAGCATTTTTTTTTTTTGCTGAAAACCAGAAGTAAATGCTGGAAACTGGCAAAAAAAGTAGAAAATCATAGTCACGTGGCCATAAGATGCAAACAAACATAAAGGTGACCTGGTTGCCAAGTGCCTAAAATACTACTGCATGACCACAGGATGTATTTGTATGTGCACGTTTGTGTGTGCACGTCAGGGCAGACTACCTATACAGCTACTAGTAAAATCTGACAGGGTATTTAACACCCTAATTTTACTTCTTATTTTGAAAAAAAATCAATAAATCCGCTTTGCTGTTGAACTCCAGCTGTTTGATCTGGGGGGGGTACCAAGAGCTGCCATTAAAAAAAGGGGAGGGAATACTTTGAAAGATGTATCACAAAGGTTGTAAATTGCTCACACTGGTGCATAACAAAGATAAATTAAAAAAACATGCAAGACCTTAAGAAAAAAATCTATATCAAAGCCGACCAAACAATTTGCACATTTGCGCATTTCAGAATATAAATAATCTTACCAACATTCACCCGATTTGATACGTGGCATCTATTTAAAACATTGATTCTAAAGTGGTTAACCAGGAAAAAAAATCTACAATACAGTACATTTGCAGTCAACTGACAAGTATTATACAGTACTAAATGTTATCACAAAGTCATATTTAGTTGCTTTTGACATAGGGAATATATTCTGGACATTCGGGACACACTTGATATCTAACATGCTGGGAGAGAAGTGGCCCGAACAGGAAGTTACTTTCAGTTCTAATGAGTAATATACAATGACTTAATCACATAAATCAAATGAACCTTTTTCTTATTAAGTTCTTATTAAGTTCTTATTAAGAGTGTGCCTCTTTGGTTCAGACATTTGTTCAGCAAAATGAGACTACTCTGCCTTCTCCAATTGTATTTTTTTTGTACTACTTTCTGTGTTTGGAAGCCACTTCCTTAATCTATTTCACCTTAATATAAATTCATTAACGTGGTACTATAAACTTTTAGAAATGTGAAAAATATTTGTAGTTGGGTAGTAGGTGGTGGTGGTGGTTCCGCTGATGATGTTACCTAGCCTGGTGATGAAATGTTCCAAAATTAAACAACAAGCTTGGAGAACAAACCACCACCGACCATAAACTTTTACCCTGCATGATGTTGTCAAACCTACTCCAATAATATTCCATTTCTTGTAGTGCCTTAAGATTCTGTCCATCAAGTCTAAGCACTCCAAGCTATTTCTGGGCTTTTCATAGTGTTGCACAACAGTAAGAACTTAGACAAATTGTGTTTTAGGTCAGTTAACCCAAAGTTACCCGAGCTACCAGCTTCCAGGGATAAATTTTACCTAGCTGATAATCTTGAATTCCTGATGTCTGAATTAAACACACACCCTTTTTGAAGTGAGCATTTTTAAATCTGCCTTTTTCACTTTTGCATTCTTTGGATAGGTTAATTTTTTTAAGTGGTGTGCTCCAGACTATTTGTTAATGCCCAACTCTAATCACTATTTTAGATTTAAAATTAAATATACTGAACACCAAATTGACACTCAGCAGAGCATATCAGTTTTCCTATAGGTATTTCCTAATTGAATGGAATATACAAATGGAATATAAAAAAGTACTGCAAAATGCAGGATCTTTTTCCTAAGTTGAAAATGTTGAAGGAAATTACATGATACATTAAATATATAGCTCTTTGCTTTCTTTTTTTATTCCTAGGTGAGTACATGACACTCCAATGTAACACAGCACCACTGGGCAGAAGATATTGAAGAGAACCGTGCAGCGAAACAGATTCAAAGGGGAAAGGGGGATTTGGTGTGTACGTGCGAACATACTCATTGTGCCTGTTGGCAATTTTTTAATCAAGCTGAAAACACACAATCTAATGAAAAGAAGTGTTTGTTTAAAAAATTTGTGGCGCATGCAGCCATGCACATTCTGAATCACCCTTTGAATTCAGATCAGTGCATAGCCCTGGTATTTAGCCTTTTTAAATGTTTAGCCCTTGCCTTCCAATCTGCTATTCTCCAAACACAAAGGTTAAAAAGAGATAACCTTCATATTAGTGCTAATAGTTGCTTTTTTTAATAAAAAAAATCCTGCAGGACATTTCAGGCTGCAAGTTACTGGGGAAAAATGTTTACATCATTTCCTTCTCTCACAAACACATAGCCCCAATCCAGAGGAGGGTCCCATAGGGAAAATAAGAGGGCTGTGCTCTTCTTTGTCTAATCATACGTCTGATATACAGATAGTCCTTGGTTAATATTGCTTAACAATGGTAATCATGGCAGTCCCCATTGCTGTCATTAACTGACTCCCACAAATTGTTAAGTGAGGACCCACCCTGATCCAAACCATTCACGCCCTGGTCCCTCCCAGCCCCAAGCCTTGATAAGGTAAGGGACTGCCTGCTCTGTCTCCTCTTGAACTCCACCCACATGCCTCTCTTCTCACTCCATTCTGCCCTTTTGGCTGCCTGCTGACCCACTTCCAACTGCCCCTGCCACTCAGCCCTGACACCACAGTACTCATCAGTACAATACTGGCCTGGGTCTTCTTTCAGACTGCTGCAGTCAGAGTTCCTCTCACATCCCTTCCAGGGCCTCCATTCTGCTCCACCCAGGGTCTTCTTTCACAAAAAAGCCAGACATATGAAAGTAGGACTGACTGCATTGGCATAAAAGAATCCCAGAGCATGCACCAGACCTCTTTGGCAAAAACAAGCCCTGGGTGGAACATGAAGGGAGAGCCTGGCTGGCATGCAGCAACCCTGGATGGGGCACAAGAGAAAGGCCCGACTGCACCAATGTGAAAGAAAGTGGTGTGAACAAAGATCACAACTGGTGGAGTACTGGTGTGCATTGCAACGGGTCTAGACAAGGACAGCTGGTGGCAATGGGTAAGCAGACAGCCATAACAGGGTCATGACTCTGGATGGGCCTGAATTCTGTTCACATGATGACACAGACACTGCAATGGCCAGAACTTTGAAGGACTGGACATAAGTCCATTCATTCAGTATTATCATTACTTTGAATGGAAATTAAGCAAAGTTTATCTCTATACCATAATGCACATTTTAATGAATTGCTCAGATTGATATGTAAATGCTCCATTAGCTGAACAAATTTAACCAGCAGCATATTCAATCTATTGCAGAACTCTATCACATTCAAGGAGAGCATAATTGCCATTGGGTAAGTTCAAGCTTTAGTTTTATTTATTAATTCAATTTATAAGGACAGGAGTCTGAATCATCTTCAGGATATCTAAATGGAATGAACAGGAGACAGGACAGTTCATGATTCTCAAAGCCTTCTTCCCAGCAACTGCATCAAGCACTGTTGGGTCTGTCAGGAAGGTGGCAACAAAACGTTAAGGAAGACGACAACAAAGCTGGAATCCTCCCTCTGACAGGTTCTGCTGGAGCTGAGATCCAAAATGGAAGTCTTCCTTTAAATATATAGGATTGGGGAGCTCGGAATAAAATGAACGTCAGTTCATAAATACTCCAGGAATCATACTGAGTTACCAGCTACAGCTACATCAGTGCTATGTAGCAAGTCACATTAAAAACATTTTCATTTTAATATTGAGTAATTCAATTATCTCAAGGAAGTCAGATTTGGTTGCATCAGTTTTACTCACCTGTTCAGGAATGAAATGTATCTGCATGACAGTGTTGGTCTCTTCATGTAAGCCCATGAATTCCACTCCTGGAGCACCATAACTGAACTACTATTGAGGTCAATAGCGCTGAAGTAGACATATATTACAACTGACATCTTGCATGAACAATTATATTTTAGGACAACGGTAATTCTTTTTTGTATTGTATCTAGAATTAGGCTGATTACACTTCTTCTAATAACATTTTTATATGTTTGAAATAGCTGAGGACTATTTCCATTAATCTGAAGAGAAGAAAACAGAAGTATACCAATTTACTCCTTGATTTACATGAGATCCCGGAGTAAAGTACCCTGAGCGCTAAAGGAAAGATGACTTATAAACCTAACAAATACACTAAAATGGAAAAGGGTTTTTTTCAAAGCCTTTCCTGATACTTTCTAACAGGTTTTTAAGATTTATGTTTTTGAGGGGCTTGATCACATGCACCTATTTTTTAGAATTGAGCAGGATGGAATGACTGAAACCTGTTTATTCCCAAGGAGGATCACGTTTCAATCCACAAATCCAGCTATGCAGATGATCCAATCATACAAACAATTTCCAAAAGAGGAGCCAATTAAAATGACAATTATGTGGAAAAGGCATTCAGATTCTTGGCCATCCATTTCCTCCACTCTTCTATATTTAACCGGGTTCATGCCGCAGGGATAAGCATTGTATTTTAGATATTGGGGCTAAATGAAAGAGAAGCCATTGTAAAGCAATCTCTTTTTTATTTCAATCTCCAAACAAGAATTGCCACTTTCCATTCCCCATGAGAGACACTAGCTTAACATGGCAGAACTTGAGCTCCTAGGACTCCACTCTGAAGTGATTAGGTTATCCTGGTTCAAGTCTTATCCCCATTTCAAAGACAACCGACTTAAAGCAAGCTAGCATTTTTCCATCCTACTCTCCCAACCCATTCTGCAATACAGCGATAACCTTAGTACCATTCACGTTCACAATTACACTTTATACGATGAGGAAGAACAAGAACAGCAAGTATAATTTGAATTCTGATTCTATCCACTTTAGCCTGCCGGTAGGGAACCAGAAAGAGTGAACAGAACCAGGAAATCTCTTCTGCATTTAGGAAGACCAAATATCTTAATTGAGCTGTTATTTTTATAGTCTAATAATTTAGATAATGTGCAGAATTTTTCAAATGAAGTTCTTTCTACAAACTAAGAACGAGGGCTGTGCAGTGCTTTGCTTAGTTTTTAAAAATGCTTTGTACACAGTCCCTAGAAAAGGCACAGTTGCTTTAAGGAATTATAGGTATGTACTATTTCTGGGTTCCATAGCATCTTTGGGGATTCTAGTCTAAAGCATTATATCTATTAAGTGTGCAACTAACCTACTTTCTCCCTTAAAACTGATTCGAAGGCAGAAATAAACAACTGAAAGGATACATTTTGATGGCTCCTGCCCGGGTCCCAATAGCCATAAGGTGGAAGAAAGCACTGTAGCCCAGGGCACTTGGCTGATGAGGAAAACCATGTTCAACCGTCTGATGGAAAAGGAAAAGATGAACCAGCAATATACATTATACATGAAGACAAAAAGCTGCGCAAAAAGTGAACTTACGGAAGAACAAATTTCACCATAACATCTGGACTCAAGCAATATAATATTGAAATAAAGTACTTCAGACAAATCTTACAAAACCAGGGGTCTGCCTTAATCACGCTTAAAGACATTATAGAAGAATTTCCTCTAGAATAATAGCTCAGAAATACAGTTTAAAACCCTTTTATTGTAAAATATTGATAGCACCCATCCAGACGAGGCGTCAGTAAAATCACTCTTGAGAACCTTTATTTCTGGAATTTCCATATTTAGCTTGTTAATGTTAATTTTAACGAATTCTTTTCTATGTGCTATAGGATTTTCTACAGTGGAGACCTAGCAATCCTGCACAGCACTGCCTTTACTATGTAAATACATCAGACCACAAAAACATGCATCCTATGGCCTTATATAGCTAGACCTTTAGTCCATATAGGTATCATTAATCTTAAAAACAGCATTCCAAAGTACAAGCAAAGCAGTTTCAGAAGCAAAGCAGGCAATCAAAGTATGTAGGAAAATATATAACCTTGCTCTAATCCAGTTTCCCCTAACCATAAACCTGGTGAATAAGCCACAAGGATTGTATTAACAGAAAATCTATGCCATCAAGCATGGTTTACTAGCCAGAGGTTGTAATAAAAAAAATAACTGGATATGCACAAACATGTAAAACATACTTTCTCTTTCGCATTTACAAGAATCAGTGATTCTTCAGGCATAGATGTACTGTATATGTTAAGGGAAGAGAGAAGTTTTGCCCTTTGCAATGTTGAAAATGTCATCTGATCTTTCTTCCATCCATTTGCAGCCCTCTACTTAGGAGCAAATACACAAACCATGGTGAAAGATTTTTAGAATAAAGGTTTAAATCAAACCCCACTATGGCCAAGATGCTGAGAACTTTTGGGAATATATTTCTATACTATGAAACTGAGCAACTCTGTTTGGTTGACAGAGTCATCAACAATTAACAATCTGGGAAATATACAAACTCCAGAACTATTTATTTATTGTAATGATTAGTGTAAGGCATAAATAGATGGGTTCAGCAGATAATCTCGCTGAAGGAGACAATTGCGTCTTTTTTATTTTTAATGCCAGAAATATGACACAACTGACAAAATTTATAAAGTTCGGCTTCAAATCAGTCACATTTCTGGTTTGATAAAAACCTAAAACTACAGCATGATCAGCATTATCTAAACTTACTTCCTCCAAAATATGGATGTATCTAGGACTGTGCAGAATAAAACTATTCTCTCGTGATGCGTGTCATGGATCCAATCCCTTACATCTATGTATACAGAATTAATATCTGCAGGTGGAAGTTTCCAGCTTAGCTGAAACACCACTGGGTACCATTTCAGGGGCTTTTTCCAAACAGGATACATGGGGCACAATAGAAAGCCAAGTTGTCTTATCATGACAGTATCCTTCAAGAATTACTTGCAATAATTGGCTGTCTGAAAAGAGGCAGACAAAAGACCTGTATATGTACAAATGCCAAAGTGTCTCTCCAGGGTGCCTACAGTTAGTCCTCGAGTTATGACCGTAATGGAGCCTGCCCATTATGGGTATACATCATAACGGTTATAAAACAGATCGGTCACGTGGCCAACCCAATTTTATCATATTTTCTGTGGCAGTCATTAAATGAATGCAGTAGTTGTAAAACAAAGACAGCATGGGCACCGTGGTACTTTTATGCAATGTCTCATAATAACAACAACAACAATAATAATGTTGGAAGGGGCCTTGGAGGTCTTCTAGTCCAACCCCTTGGTTAGGCAGGAAACCTTATACCAGGGGTGTCAAACTTGCAACGTCATGTGACGTGACGTGTCGTATCGCAACTTTTTTTCCATTGTCGGCAATGGGGTGGGCGCGGTTTCGGCATGATGCATCCAGCCCGCGGGCCAGCAGTTTGACACCCCTGCCCTATACTATTTCAGACAAATGGCTGTCCAGTCTCTTCTTAAAAACTTCCAGTGTTGGAGCATTCACAGCTTCTGAAGGCAGGTCGTTCCACTGATTAATTGTTCTGTCAGGAAATTTCTCCTTAGTTCTAGGTTGCTGATAGAAAATCTGGACTTAAATTAAAACATTCAGTTTGCATTTAAAAAAATATATATTTGGAAAACTTCCAGGATGTCCTTATCCTTAACTGAGAGGTTGCTTGTTGGAAAGGACACTCATAGTTTGAACTCACACTTAGCGTTTTGAATAGAATGGCAGAAATGAAAAATCACTTTTCTTATGTTTCCTTATAAGACGGAGCATTAATAAGTTACATATACACTGAAAGCAGCAACACCTCAGTCCTGATTATACATTGCAAATAGAGGTACAGAACTTTAGAAAACGCTGGTCACTTTTGTATTCTCTGTCTCTCTTCATCTTTTTGTATTCTGTTTAATCCCTGGCTGAAAACTGACAAGCTTTTATTTTATGAACATTGATTACATAACTGAAGCAAATAAGCTTATGAGTTTTATCAAAGCATCTTTTTCAACTACACTCGGCTACTATGAATTCAATGGACATTACTCAGTATTTATTATCTGCAAGTACACCTATTTTAAGCCCCATATTTCAGAAAAAAACATGTTAATGTGTTAAGTCCACATAGTGTATCACAGTGGTCCCTCCTAACCTTTGTGGCTTGGCGGCCTGGCTGGGGGGTGGAGATGGGAATTGGGCCACGTGAACAATAGGTCGGCGCTCATGCGTGCGTGCACACACAGCCCTTGTGCAAGCCACCAGCCAGTGCACATGCACACTCGACTTGCGCAAGTGGTAGGCCGGCGCACACGCAAAAGAGTACCCACCAGCCCGCTCCTCATGCAAGTTGAGTTGCGCACATACACTTGCTCCAACCAGCCACTCGCACGGCCCCAATTCCAAACAGGCCATGACCTGGCAGTGGGCCATGGCCCAGGGGTTGTGGACCCCTGGCCTATTACACAAGTGGAAACCTTTCAAGAGATTTTATTTCCACTGATTTTACCAGCCTGAACAACACACGTTGTTTGAGAGCCCACCCAACCCTCAGGAAAGTATATTTAGCTGTATAGGAAAGAATAACTTTATTTATAGTGCTTTGCTTTTAGTTTAATCATAATTAGCTACATTTTATAGCATTCTAACTCTTTGTAGCACAACCAACATGGCCACTGATAAATGAAATTTATTGGGGCATAAAAGCAAAAATATTCAGATTTTGTAAAAAAAAACAAAAAAAAAACCTAAGATGGTTGCACTTTAGAACATAAAGTACAGTACCAGTAGGGGACAGAAGTAGGTATACCTGGAGTGGGTGTGGAAAGAAAGAAAACAATGAAACCGTAGTGGAGAGCAAACAAACATACACACAAAAGCCAGCTCAGTTTTGCTGACTGATTATGAGCCATCAAGTTGGCTTTTATTTAGGGAAAGTATATTTTATTCTCAGAACATGGAACTCCATCTTTGGTTGTTTGTCATGGGAGGGGCCAACTTTCAGACAAGTGAAAGGATTTTCTCCCAAGTCTCAGTCAAAAGTGACACTATCATTTTATAGCCATGAGAGAAACAAGCTGTTTTCTGAATCTGCCCTTAGAAGTACAGCAGATCAAATCTTGGCAACTGCTCTGCCACCACACAAGCCTGTGTTTACCCCAGTGAACAAAGCGGGCTGGAAGAACCTACCAGCTTAAAGAACCCCACCAAGTGGATTGCTTCCAGGTAGGTAAAACACAGGTGAAACCAGCCCGTCTGGCAGCTGAACTTGGCTGATCAGCTAACTTCACAATTGAGGACATGTCTGGCCCTGCAGAATTTTACAACATGCCATACCAAGAAGAGGGAATTAAATTTCACACTGTGCTACTCATTGGTTTGAGAATTTTTGTAAGATAGAACCACAGGTGTTCTTAGTATCCCCAAGTGACAGCTGCTTATGTTGCTGGGATACATGTACTTATACGTGAACAAGGCACTCTCTGGTTAGGAGAGAAATACAGCCTCCCTCCCACCCACCCACCCTCCCTCGGACCACATGCTGCAACAACACCATAGAGATACCGTACTAAAAGGATAATCTCTTTCAGTTGCGTATCTGCTTTTGGCCTTGCCTGGGGGGAATGCCTGAGTGAACAGATCAATGTTCCCTTGTTTGAAAGATATGTCTGACCATACTGTGGACATGCGTATAAGAAGGAAAAATTCAAGAGCAACAAAATGAGGAAAAACACTCAAAATAAACAAGCTATGAGACAAAATCTTTAAAAACAAAACAAAACAAAACCCAAACAGTCAAATTCAAAAGATAGCATTTGTTTAAAAAATGTTTTATATTACTCTGAAAAGACTTAAAAACAATTTAAACAGAACTCAATTGTTGCCGTAGTCTTACATTTGTTTCACTTTCGTTTGGAGACAGATTAGATCAGGGGTCCCCAACCCCTGGTCCATGGACCAGCACCGGGCCACGGCATGCCAGCAACCGGTCCGCACAAAGAAGGAAAGCCCCATCCACGGGATGCAGGCAGCACACAAAACCACGTACCCTCCGGTCCGTGGAAAAACTTTTCTCCACCTAACCGGTCCCCAAATATCTGGATCTGTAATAGTTTGAGGTTGAAAGCTCAGTTGTTCAAAGTTTGAAGTTCACCGTTCTGACTCTACTGGAAGTATTGTGTAATAAAACAGCTCCAGGTTGAATTTGAAAAGGGGTCTTTTTGAGTTTGGGAGAGGGAGGACTATTTCAAGTGTTCAAGGCTTCTACACCAACCAGACCGATGATATTCTTCAAACTCTAAACCGTTTGCAATGTTTTACATATCTTTAAAAGCTTGAGTGAAACTAATTAGGGAGAGCTGCCATAGGGTGTGCCTGCCAATACTGCAGCTTTTGGGGAATCAGTCAGTGGATTCTCTCTCCACCCCATCCCATAGTGCA